TTGAATATATTATTTTACAATCATTTTATAAAAAAAAATAACAAAAGACTTTTTTTTTAAAGGCAGAGTAACCTGGAAAATTGAATTCCGTACTAAAACTTTAAAGTTAAGAGTTTTGTCTACACCGTTGCTTTTTCAAACAAATGGTAATACTCTTGGATATTTCTCACTGATAAAATCGATTTTGATGAAAAAAATACTTAAGAAACTTCTATGTTTATCCATCGACCCTTTTTTGTACATACAATAGCTATCCTCTAGAGTGTTTGATTGAGTCTTCGTGCTTTTTGTCATCGTTGCTCCGTGCTACTACTATTGACGCTCAAATGTGCGTAGTTTAAAATTTGATGGAAACAGTATTTCAGATGCTGAATTATTGCTTTATCTACGTATTTGTGCGTATAATTCACACATAGTTGTTACTGTTAGCTCAGATATCCGTAGATGACTCTTATACCATAACAGCCTATTCTTTACACTTTTAAGATTGTACATACAATACAGGAGGGATCTAGAGCCCTGTATTACTAACAAAAATTATCCTAAAGTTGTATACGTATCCAAAGTATACGTCCTGATTAGGAATAATACTTTAGCTAGCAATATTATTAGCCAAAATAACGTTGTTATTTAGTTTGTATTTTGAAAGTGGTACTTGAAGTATTATTACAGCAGTATAATTTTTAAAAATATTGTAATTAACAGGAAATTTTACTAAAAATTTTTTTTTAATTAATTTCAGAGCCAGTAAACAGCTTTACAAATATTTATTTCATAATTAATTTCAATGAACAATTAAAGTTTTAGCGTTAATTTTTTTTTGACGCCTAGGAAATATTCAAAATAAGCTATAATTTGAAATGTCCGGTATTTGTGTCTTTTAAAAAACGGACGAGTATTAAATAGGTTTTTACTCTGTTTTCTTGTCAGAGCCCTTAGGCATGTGCTATAAAAATAAGCTATTTATTCATTAATCTATAATTTAAAACGTAGTTTTCTTATATTTATAAGTGTGCCATTCCGATGTTTGTTGCCTTAACCTTTATGTTTTTTTAAACTGATTGTATTTGAGTTCATCGAAGGAAGTAAACGAAATTTTTAAAGTTTATTATGTTCTACAAACAATTACGTTCCGTTCATTGTTAGTGTATCTTTTCGTTTACACGCTTTAATTACCCATATTTGGTCCAAAAAGTTTAATTGCCATACTGAAAAATTTTATTGACTGTATCAAAATCAGTTGTAGTGGCAGTAATATAAGACAATAATAAAGTGAAAAATATACATACTTTTTTCGTAGAGTATATAATTTTTTTTTTTTATCATAGTGTTATACTTCTGGGTACATAAACGTCCACTACATAGGGCACTTAAAACTTTGGAAAAGGATAAGGAAAGGGATGGGAGGTTACCCATTACAAGAAGGGGGTACGGGGAAAATAGAAAATTTTGGCTGTGAGAAGTTCGCTTATTTCTTTCACGAAGACCATTGCGCAGTGAGATAGCACATGTAAAAATTCATAGAAGTACTTGTTTAAAAAAAATTTCACTGGCCAGGAATAGAACCGCGGTCTTCTGCATTCTAACTCATCTGACTGAGTCACCGTTTTCGAATATCAAGTATATAAGACAGTTTTAACTAGATGTGGTATGTAAGAATATTAGACTTTACTTTCATTCATCAATGGATAAGTATTCAATGCGACAATGTTTCTACAAACTGTAGTTTTGACTGAAAAATTCGAACTGCCTTGGCAATTATGTGTTGGACGGGAAATGTCGATAAATTTAATTACTCGCATTTAATACTTACCCATCGATAAGTTAGAATAAATTTTAATATTCTCAGATATATGAGCAAGGTGTTGGACTAAAAAATCGCCGAAAAAGTATAAATTGTAGCATTTGAGAAGAGGAGTTGCCGAGACCTCGATGGCGAAATTGGTGATGCACTTTCCTGGCAAGAAAAGAGTTCGAGGTTCAAGTCCTGGTCGAGGTGATACTTTTTTTCAATTGCTACGTATGACAATGTGTCTACAAACTGTAGTTTTAACTGAAAAATACGAGTTGCCTTGGCAATCGTATGTTGGATGGGAAATGTTGATAAATTCAATTACTCGCAGTTATAACTAGAGTTAAGCCTAATTATTTCTTTAAAATTACAAAAACTTTAACAACTGTATTTTAATACCATAAAACTTTAATAAATAATTTGAGCTCAGACTACTGCCGTAAAATTCTTATGTATAACTCAAGTAATTACAACGTTTCAGGTTATCCGCCGTTTTGTAGCGAGAATCCTCAAGAAACTTATAGAAAAGTCATGAATTGGAGGGAAACACTTATTTTTCCACCAGAAGTTCCGATTAGTGAAGAAGCGAAAGACACAATTATTAAATTATGCTGTGAAGCTGATAGACGACTAGGTAAGATTATGTCAATTTTTACACAAAAAATTCAGATTTAGGTGTCTTACATAATAATTTAAAAGTAGTTGAATTTCAATTTGAATCTAAATTCAAAACTAACCTTGAATCTGAAAGGTCTAAGTGCTTTATATAGAAGACTTTTAAACACATACGATTGACGTCTGCTAGCATCATCTATAAAATCTTATTTTTAAAGTATAGAATACAGCTATAGCAGAATATTTTATTTTTAGCTTTTTTTTTGCATAAACTAAAACATTAAAAAAATCAATGTTAGGGCTAAACCACCTGAGTTAATAGGTAAGGTACAATTAACATCGTATATTTATCCAGGAAAAAAATCCAGACAGAAAAGAAGAACGTTTTTTATCTTTTCTTAGATTCTGATTAATTTTCAAAGTTAAATGATGACATTTCTTTCCTAAAAATACACACTCACACACACATTGAGCGAGAGAGAGAGATATATATACTAGTGAAGCTCTGCCTCCCTGCGCGCTCCGTGAGCCAACCTCCACTTATAAATGATGTTAATGTAATCTTTTATCAACCAAATTTGAATTTTTATGTTACCAAGCCTTAGAAAATTTTGCTATTGATTTTTTAGCAGGCAAAAAAATGTTTAGATAAATGTAACCAAATTCGAAGAACTACGGTATTTCTCAGAAATACTCGGGAAAAAATCATCTGCGATGAGAGTTAAGCAAAGTTTACAATGCTGCTTTTAGGTGCATATGAAGGATAGTCTGCTTACTCCAAATATAAGTGGTAAAGCTGACGTAGAAAAATAGCTGCCCTCTGCCTCGTTTTACTTTTAGATAAGCCTGCTTAAAATTAACAGTCTATGCTTTATATGCCTATGGACATTTCTAAAATTTATTTGTTCACTTAGTATACCTTGTTGTTTTTAACTTTGTCATACGTTCTGGCCGTGAATTAAATCATGTTACAATATATTCACGTAAATAGTGCCTAACTATGAGTAGAATATAGGAATGAAATTAAGTAAAAGGTGCTGTTCATGTTGTTAAGGTAAGCTTTATAGTTTGAGACTGCTTAAATAAAAATAAAAACAGAAATACAGACTATTAGAGGTGAAATAATATATCTTTAAAAAATATCGATAGAACAGCATTTAAATTTTAAATTTCTATGATTAATTTAATAGTTATATCATGTAACACATTTCTTTAAAAAAATTATGTGTGTCATTTAGACGTACGCCTTAAGAAAATACGATATTGGTGGGTGGGAGCTGGTGCAGATACAAACATAAATTTTCTTATTTTGTGGGGGGAGGCATGTGAACTAATGTTTGGAGGTGGTAGAGGAATTTATCGTCTACCCTACTTAAATCTCTGTATGAAACAGATGGATGTACATACAATAGTGGTCTCTGCTTTCTGTGCGCTTATTTGTAAATATCTATCCATATCCTAATAGTGAGTTATTTTATGATCATAAAGTGCTATCAAATAATTCTATTGACTACAAGTCTTATGCTCTTGTGTATCATCATAAAACTCATATTTCTTAAAGTGTATAACGATACTGACAAATTATGTGGATTTGGTGCTACCAGCTTCCTTTATAGCTTTAAACTTTTGCCACGAGCTAGGGTGCTACATCATTGTCGATCCTGATGTAAACAAAAAAATTTAGTTATACCTGAGAACTGTTCGTATAACGGCTTTGTATTGCCATACTGCTCTCTATGTATATGCTATTGTCATTTGTATATCAAAAAATTGTGTCAGATTCATTATTAATGAATCACATATAAAACAATCAAGACATCTTACTTAACATGGCTTCAAAACCATGAGACTATAGTTAGGCATGCGCCTAATTATGAGTTTTTTTCTCAATATCAAATGAAAAATGAATTATTGTTTTACATTCGTCATTCTCAAACGTTTTTTATATTATTATCAACAGCATTAAGGGTATTATAATCTGACTAATATATAAAGCTAAGTCGCTAGAACCGTTGTAATCACTAACCACGAAAACTACTTGACTGGTCTGGCTAAAATTTTGCGTACTGATTATTGACACTTCCTAGATGGTTTTAGTATAGTTTTTATCTTAAAAAAATTAATAAGAATAGCAATAAATAGGCTCAAAGTTTTGCGAAAATACGCTAGCTTTTGACGTTAGTTTAGTAGGATCCGCTAGATGGCGTAGACGTAAAATCGAAGCTACCCGCAATAGAAGTAATTAAGTGTAGTTATAATACCCCTGAGCGTCTAAACAATTGCCATAGTCGTCAGCTGTCAGTAAATCAAGAAAACAATTGTTGGTCGTGCAACTGAGTATACCGACTACCGACGACACTCTCCCCCAATGGGCAAGCAAATAACGTCTAATTTGACCCTGAACCACCAGAATTGACAAGTGCCACCAATAAAAAAACGCTCTTAATGATAACGTCTCTGGCGGAATACAAAGAGACGCGCCTAGTCAGAGTACAACCTGCACCATCACTTCAGAGTGTTGTGGCCGTTGAACCATCCGACCTGGTACCGTCAAAGAATTTTAACTACAAATGCAAGCCAAGGAAGACATCCCTAAGGAGTACGGGCAGCCACAATGGCTTTTTTCTTAGTGGTCATCCCAACGGCATACCTACAGAGAAGGTATTCTCCAGGCTCACTTTCCTGACTAACGATGAGTGGTTGGTGATCCGGGGAACGATCCAAAGACGAGATATTCTTTGGTCAGCGACGCGACGTTCCTTCTTCCAGCGTGGTCTCCATTCATAGAGACTCCAAGGGTTAGAGTCGAGCTACCCGCAGCTAACTCTTCACCATTAAGAACAATAATAAGGAATAGCTGGAAGTTTCACCACTGGCCCGTTTCAGGGCCACTGTAAGCATTTAAGTTCCTTACTCAACCATCAATCTCATTGGTTCTTTTAAGGGCCACCTAAGTTTAAACTACCTTACCAACAAATAAATTTTTACTACCATTTCCGGAAACGATTCGTTGACTAAAAGACTATAGAAAACCGGCCACTATTAAACTAAGTTAGTCTTTCACTGGCAGACGTCATGAGCGGAGTTATTCGTCGCAAGACTGGGAACCCCAGTGACCAACGATCCTACATTACCCTCTCAATTCTTAGGATTCCAGCAGAAATTATCGATCCGCTTCAAGGTATGTACTGGGAAAAACTAACAGCTATGAAGAAATAAACTTGAGCAAAGGGAACAGCATCCGAATCGCAAACCAATCTCCCCACCTTCGATCACCAAAATAACTCAGTCTGCAAAAAAAAGGTGCTTTAGACACCAACATCTTAGGCGTATTACCAGGAGACGTTAGGAAAGATCTCTACAACTAGCTCCAAAGCTATAAATGTTGTAATTTTTCTTATGATCAGTGTAGTCCAATAACAACAGGCCAGAGAAGATCACCCTGAGGTATAGAGGCAACCATGTTTGCTGAAAACTTCAGCCAAGAAAGAGTTTATTTAAGAAGCTAACTGGTCCTTTTTAGGCCATCTGATGTTAAATTACCTTGCCAACAAATATATTAAAACTGAACAAAGTTGAAAAAAACAGCCTTCATGGCTCACAAAAAACTTATTTATACCAAAAGTCGCAAGAGAGCGAATTGGAAGGAAAACTTCAAATGCATCCAATGAATAAAATTTCAGGCGTTAAGAAACTGACGCAGAACATTTACCCAAATTGAAACAGCAGCGTTAAAATCGATTAATAAAGAATCTATTGCGTGAGAGATCAGCTTTTCATTGCACCCTCACAGCGATCTCTCGAATTTTACAGATTTGTAAAAAGGCAGATTATCCATTTGTATTTTTTTAGCGATAAGAAATGTAGAGATTAAACTCCAGGACTTTTTTGCTTTGGCAATAAAGTTGTAAGAGAAAAGAAAACTTTTTTTTTCAATCATACATTTTTTCGTTAGTTTCAAAACATTACAGCTAAAAAAACAGCCTTTTTGTAGCTTTTGCGGGAGAAACTGCAAATCAACGGCCCTTAAGGGCAAACGATTATTTCATGTTATAAGAAATGCACGGTACTTTTCAGCATAATTATATTTTCGTTACTTTTACAGCTTAGTATTTGACCAAATAAACTGCATGAGTTCCGAACAATTATGTTTTGAATAGAGAGATTTTTGTTCTGAGAAGTGTCAGGGATAGATGGGGGGGGGGAGGCTGCTAGTATGCTAGTATATATAATTTATGGGGAAAATTAAAACAATTTTTTTTTAAAGGTTTTTAAAAAAAAAGAAATGATGCATCATTACGCTTCATTCAATTTTCAAATGGGAATAAAACCCTAAAAAGTTTTCAAAAAGCTTTAAAAGTAGTTGAAATTATATAACCTAAAGAACTAAATTTTAAAACAATATTTGTAAGGGCTTATGCTCACATGAGCTTAATTTAAACATAAGAACAGTTGTTATGTTGATACGAAATAATGTAACTTTTAAACTTATTTGAAATCAGAGTAGAGAGGGCTAGATCAAATATTGGAACGTTGCTCAGACAATGTGTTTAGAAATTGTGAAGAAGCCAGGGTGGATTTCTTAAGAAGTGTGAGGAAACCTCAGAGGGTGGTGCAAAATTTATTTAACTAAAAATGTCTTGATATCCCACCTGATTTTACTTTATTTAGAGATGCAGCTGAGGGGTAGAAGAAGAGAGTTCTTCACAATTGTAAGAGTGGTTTATTGGATTGTTAGGTTAAAAGGTTAAATAAATGTGAGAGAGTCTGATGGGTCAGGGTAGAGGGAGGGATGAAAAAAAATTTGACCTTATCAAAGTAAGTTAAAAATCGATAGAGTTTCGCCCATTAAAAAAGAGGAGGGGGGGGGTCGGCAGAGGAGATATAGGGGGCTCTTTAGAACCAGGCATGCTGTGGAAAAGTTTGTAGGAGGAGCTGAGCGAAAATTCAACCCAATAAAAATATGTGTGAGTTTCGAACAATTAGTTTTTTTTAATTAGAAGATTTTTTGATTTGATA